ATAGCAGCGCTGTTTGTAATAACAAAAGGTTGGAAACAATCTATATATACAATAGGAGAAAGACTAAATAAACTGCCATATGTGAATTTAATTTCCTTGTCAGGAAGCATTCAAAGAAATATACAAAGTGTAAAAAGTGATACAGAAGGTAGAAAGTGTATACAGGGGATCAATACATACTTGCTTAGGAGAGTTAAAGGATTTGCCTACAGTCACACAGAGACTAAGAGGAAGAATTTGAACCCAAGAGGACTTTCTCTGCATCATGTTGAATAAAGCACACAACTCTCTGGTCTTTAAAAAAAAAAGAGTAAAAGGGAAAAGAATTGTATATACAATCACTGAAAATAACTTTCTGTCTTGTTTTAACTGTTTATTTTTGTGTTTATATTTTTCTGCTTTAATAAAAGAGTGTTATAAAAAAATTCCTATCTCTTAAAGATATAGTGAAAACTAAATTTTACAATAACTAAGGTGAACAATTATAATTATTCATAAAATATTTCACATTATTTGGCAAGTGCAAATTGTTAAAGCTTTTTTTTCCCCATCCTGCTACAGAGGTATAGAATAGGATTAAAAATGTCTTCCTGACACAGTTTAACTAAAGACAACAATGTCTTATGCTTTCTCTTGTGGTTAGATCACATCTCATATTACTGTTGGTAAGAAGGCCCCAGACTTAACTCATATAATATACATTGAATATCAAAATATAAAAGACATTAAAGTACTAAATTTTCCAGCTATTAAACCTTAGTTGAATTTTTAAATTCTCAATCTACTACAACCCAGAACAACCACTGTACAGTTTTACAACCATATGCTATCTTATGAATAGCCTATGAATAACCTATTTATTTTGATAATGCACAAGTCATCAAAACAATGAGGAATAATTGGTTAAACTGGTCAATTGGGTTTCTTTCCTCCATGCCTCTTCTTTCACCACCCTTGAGACATTTCCTTTACAACCATCAAATGTTGGATAACTTAATGTACCTTTTTTTTTTTAAACATCTGCAGATACAAAATCAGGGTCTAACTCCTACCACTTCTCTCTACTCACACAAACCTCAGTGAAAAAAAGGAGTAATTTTGAGTACATAAATACTTCAGCTTTGGGTCCACAGAGACTTAAATTAATACCTTGGCTTGACCAGTTCAACTTACAGTACATCTTCATTTGCCCAGTAACACAATCTATAGCCAACTGCTAACCAAGTCAATATGTGGTAACAGTAACAGCCACCCTAACTCGCCTTGATAATTATTTTCCTTTAACTGACATAATATTCAATATACTGTTGTTGAGAGCAATAACGCTAAAAACTGATGCCTTGAGGGCTACAAGATGATTGAGTTTTAGCCAGATAAAATGATTTGTACACTAATGGTGCGTTATAGGGCTTTCCCCCTTCATATGAACATTTTATAGTCTGTTCTTTCTAAAATGCTCTGCATGTGTGTATAATTATATTACAAGTCATTCTTGCATATCCTAGTTCATCCTAACAGATAATTTTTAAAATATTCATCAATATCCACACAATGCAGTTTTTTTAAATGCTATTTTTTCCTATTGTTCTTTCATTAAAATGATTTCTTTTTCCCTTCCCCAAATAAGATCCCAGTTTGGTGTTTAAACCTTTTTGCCTTTTTTATTTAAACAACTACACTATAAGAAACATGGAAAATAAATGGTAAATAACAAAAGGCATCATTTAAATAAAATCTGTTACATTAATTCTATCAATAAAACAAGACAGATATTAACAGCTAGAGTTCACATGAACATGAACATCAACTAAATTTTTTTTCAAGTTGCCAATTCTAACATATGAATTAGAAAAGCAAACCACAGATTATGTTTCAGATTTTCATACCTAATTAAGAGAAATTGATTAGTAATGTAATTAAATATATCTAAGGTAAATTACAAGTTTCATTATTTGCTTTTAAATTCTGCTGAAAAAATAAAAAGCTTCATTATTTCATGGATGTAAATTATTTCCCCCTTATTTATTTATTAAACTCACATATTTTAAATTTTTGTTCCCAAGTCCCTTAAGTATGTTTTTAAGGAATTAATATTATAAGTATTATAAGTTTGTGTTTTCCTGTAAGACAAGTTGAAAAGTTAAAGAATGCCTAATTTCTGTATAAGGAATTCAGACAGCCAAAATACAATATAAAAATACAATAAAATACAAAATACAATAAAAATATATAATAAAAAACATAAAAATCATATAAACTGTGGCCACTCTCTAAGGCAAATTAATATCACTACAATAAAGAAGAACTGGTGACTTGGGGATATTTCTTCATAAGAACTCAGTGGATTAAGATGGCAAAACTAAATCATTTAGTCCATCCATTTATTTAGCTACAAAGAGAAATTACCTGAAATAGATCCGGATGTCTTTAGCAAAAAAATACACATGAAACTAAAAGAGTGTATGAATATGAAAACAAAGCAATACTGCAACAGCAACAAAGCAAGTAGGATTTGGCAAAATATTTTTGTTTTTTAGATAGAGTATACAGAAACTTTAACAGCTCCATCTACATCATGTTCATAAAAGGCTTATTTATTTTATAAGTATAAACCAATTTTAAATGGTCACTAAAACCAACATCATCAAAATGAGAAGTTTTCTAGCAGTTAAAATGTCCCTAGGTTAGAAAATACAGTGGAAGTGTGTATGTGTGTGTCTCAAGACAGGTGTAAACAAGGCCAAACCCATAAAAAACGGAAGCAAATTCTATCTTTAATTACTTCATTTACTTTTTGGTAATCTTTGCCCTTCCAAAGTCATCCAAAGCTTACTTTCCAACTATTCCCACTGAAAATTGCAAGTCTTATCTTTCAGACCCTAAGAGCCAAGTTTCTAACCTTTCCAAGTATATAATTATTCACTAATCTGAGAAAAAATGCATATTAATTTGCTAATGGATTAGTCACCAGTACTCTTCTTTTTAATCCCACCAATAATAATAATGATAATTTTGTATTCCAGAGTTAAGTTTTAGAAGACACTTTCCACACAACTGTGTAAGGTACACAAATATTATCTCTATTTCACAAATTATAAAATTAAGGTTTCAGATATGTCTGATTTGCCTTTATTCACACAACTGGCAATAAGTATCACTCAAGATTTAAACCCAGGTTTCCTGACAGATTTAGTGCTTTCTGTTACATCAAGTATTTTCTTACATGAATATTTTTACCTCAAGTCTTTTAGAAGCAATAATTTTGACTCTTATTTAATTGCAGGGATTTTGTCATGCCAGGCAAGAAAAGAGGGTAGCTCTATGTCTTGTTGGTAAGGAGACATATTTTGGAAACAGCTGAAACCTTTTGTCCTTCCACAGTGCACAAGGTAGACAGCCACACACTCCACTTAGTATACACAGGAATGGGCCCTGGATGTAAAGATTGCTAGTTAAACAATGATGATTCAGTACTTACAAAGCCAGGCTAGAATGAAAAGGAAACCTAAATACCACACAATCAGCTAGGAACCCTTTTCCCAATTTTTATGACACTTTTCTCTGCCAATATCAGAAAAGGCTTTCTGTACTACCTTCACAAAGCAGTCATTTCCTTTTGAAAGCTCCCTTCTCCTCCAAATGGCTGTGACTATTTCCTGCTATTTCAGGGTCTCGATAAGTTGTTCTCAAGGTGACTTATGAAAATTTCCACCTACCACAACCATAGGAGAAAGAGAATGAACGACCACAAACATATTTTACAGACAAGCTACAATATGATGCAAAATGGTTTGTAACAGGCAATTCCTTTGGGGAATCAGTGCGGATTGAAATGTTTTGCAACAGCCCTTAGCAGTTCAAAATCATCCTCCACTATAAAATGGAAAGACATCATTATGGGAAGAGTATAATGTTAAAGAAACAGGTATACTGTATCCTGGCTCTCACAGTGGACTCTGCATGTGGGATGCTGATGGTTGCTCGGCCAAAGCCTACAAATTGGGAAAAGAGTGAAATCAGACCAGTTATACTTGTCTCCTGGGCTTAAGGACAACAAAAACCATTCAATAGTATGCAGGCATACTGGGAGGGAGTGAAGCCAATGAAAGTAAAAACGGGAAACAGACTCTTGAAAAACTCTGGGATGGTTGGTCAAGAAAGGCGTAGGTAGTTAACAAACCCAGATAGAATGGTACCAGAGTCCCCTCCCATTCAGGGCAGCCTATATAAAGCACGCTTTCAGTTTAAACAGGGAGAGGATACAGAAATATCCCTTCTAGGAACACATAGGGGTAAAAGGGAAAAAACATGGGGGAAGCGGAGAAGAAGGTGACCCCAGCCCACCACATGGTAGCTTCGCATTTTAATTAATTATTCTTACTACTGTACTGAGTTCTTTTTTTCTTTTCTATTCACCTAAAAGAATGCAAGTGCTTACAAACCCTCTAAATTTTCAACCCTGAAGCAAAGCTCCATTTGTCTCACCTTAGTTATATCTCTGTTCATAACTGAAACTTACACAGAGCAAATTAAGTAGACTGCAACCCAGAATCTGCCCTCTGTGGAAGAGCTCAAGTTACATCTCTCTTCATAAGTGAAACTTACATAGAGTAAATTAAGTAGACCGCAATCCAGCAGCTGCCCTCAGTGGAAGGGCTCAAGCTGTACTACAATTAAGCAAATATGGAAATAAGAGACCATAGTAGCCAGCTGGTACTAAAAAAGGGAAAAATAAAAACCTAAGGTGATATACATAAATCAAAAAAATTGGGGTTGGCTGCCTGGCAGTTATTCGCCTTCAGGTTGCATGCTGTCCTGTTTTGACATTTCCTTTCTTTCTTTTGAGGATCTCCAAGCATTCTTGATATTCACTTTAATCAGAGTTCAATTTTATGTGAATATGAAGGTGGTGGAGATATACAATATCTTTGCTATCGCCCTAGGTAAGGATCCTATTCCCCTCCATACCTGGCCTACCAATACTCTATATTACTTCCTACCTGAAGGATGTATCCCCGGACGTAGTCTCGTAGTGTCCAGCCTAATCCATGGAGAATATGCAATACCTCCTCCTGCTTGAGCACACTGAAGAGTCGGTCCAGCAATATCTTCAGCCTCACAGGCACTGCCTGGGTCCCGTAGAGCATCAGGCTGCTGATATCAAACACTACGTTGGATTGAACAATCTCCACTTGAGTTGGGTGGTATAGGTGTTGTGTGCTGAGCTTGTCCAAGGCTAGAGCATGGTGCGACGGTGGAGAAAAAGGGAAGAGGAGATAAAGATGGAAGGAGAGGGCAGAGACAGAAAAAGGAGAAATAAGTTATTTCAAGGTAATAGGGTTTCTGTCTTCTGATGGTTACAAAGGAAAAAGTTCCCATTCATTATGAATGGTGCTTTCCCCTCCCCTTCTTTCTCTCTTCAAAAAACAAACAAATTATAGACTACAGTAAATGCAACACAACTCAATTTACAAGAGAAAAGAGCCACTAAGGTTGTTTTAAAATGAATGGTATAGTCTCTATAAATCTGACCAATTACTTTGCTGCTAATTGAACTAACCAGGGCAACACAAGTTATGATGGTGGTAAAAAAAAAATCCTCAGCACCGGCTGTGACATCAATCTTAATCAGCCTAACCTTTTTTTAGAATGGAATTCATTCCTTGCTATATATCTGAATGGTTTAAGAAGGAAGAAGAGTTGGTGGTTTTGTAGCCTAATTTTTAAGATAATAAGAAAATCGGAATTCTTTGTGGATGAAGAACAATCCAATCAACTACTAATTATTCTCAGGTTGATTATTCCAATTGCACTATCTGGAAACTATATCTGCACACCTTTGGTAAAAAAAATGCCAGTAAATAGTGATATGACCAAAAGAAGAATAAGAGGAGAAGGAAAAAGAAACACAATTTATAATTTAGTCACTCAGTCACAAATAACCTGTAAACATCTTTGGATTAAATTATGTTTTTATATTATCTGTGGATTTCATTTAACAGGGTTCTCTTTTTCTATTTCTAATCGTATGACAATGAATGAGTCACTTAACAGTTCTCAGCCTAAGTATGTGCCTGTGCGTGTGTGTGTATGTAGAAATATTTTTATATAATTTCTTCATATGTAAAAATAAGGAAACTACCTAACCATTACCTTGCCAAGTGGACCAAAAGATCGTGGCCTAGAACAGTGGTGTCATACTCAAAATAGAAACCTATGGGTGCATATAGACTTAGAAAACCACAAATTAACAACATATTTGTTGTCATAATATATTTTTATTTATTCTATTAAACATTTCACAATTATGTTTTAATGTTTGATATGTCTGATATCTTTTATCTTCCCAATGACCACCCTAGAGTCCCACTATCCACACTGCTGAGCATCTCAAGTAGTCCTTTCATATTAAGTCAGGCTAGCCGTAATCATGATTCACTTTGTTCCCCAATCATCTCCTGATAAGCCAACTTGACACTGTGCTGCTGCCCCACCTCCAATACTCTTTTCCAGTTTGGATATCATAATAAAAGCAGTGCTTCTGGAAAAGGTGTGCCCATTTACCTTCTTATGGCTCCACTCACCATAGCTCCAATTTTTCAAACCAATATTCTTTAGCCTGCCCATAATAACCCCCCTCTTGAAAAAGTAATATCCACCTATTAAAATATAATCTCTTTGAGGGCAGGGACTATCTTCGCCTTTGTATTTGTGTCTCCAGTGTTCAGCACAGTGCTTGGCAAGTGCTTCATGAATGCTTTTTTATTCCTTTATTCATATAGTACTTGTATGGATCACATACTTTATGGGGTTGTGAAACAATTGTATAGTAAACCTTAAAATGGTATATGAATGATACTATTATTGTCATTAATGAAGGAGAAATTACCATGTAGTACAAACTGTCCCTGTCTTAAATATACAATTATTATGGTGTATTTGCTTACGCATGTTACAGGGTATATATATGCATAAATCTTGCATGTGTATAAATCAGGGATGCATATATGTAATTGTTTCAATGCATTTTCCCATAGAAATACCAATAAGGAGTTAGCAATAGTCTCAAAATTAAATCACATGTTTATTTTAAGCTTAATGCATACATCTACTTGGACAAGAACTATCAAAATTCTAACTTCACAAAGATTTGTTAATCTGATGACACATTTATCAGAAAAAAATAACTATATGACATGGAGGCTACAAACAGTCGAAAGCACCAGGCTATAGGTATGAAATCCTTGTTCTAGAGCTCTATGAGCACAATTTATTCAAAAATTTGCTTCAATATTTCAAAGATACGTAGTTTGGTACAATAATTTTTAACCCTATTGCATATTATGGGCCCCTTTGGGAGTCTTGCTAAGCCTATGAACCTCTTTTCAGAATAATGTTTTTAAATACTTAAAATACATAGGATCAGAAAGGAAACCACTGAAATAGTTACATACATACACATACTTACACATCCACATACATACATACACTCTTATTTGTTGTCAGAACCCTGTTTAAGAACCTCTGGTTTAAATCAGTTCAGGTCCTCTTTCGCCAACACACAAGGCAACTCCTCTGCCTTAGGAGATGCATTCTGTGAGATGATGTGACCAAAAAACCAAAATTCATTTCATCCAAACTGCTGAAGACTACCCTCAATGAATTCAGCTATACCATTCTTTGGACAAGAGACGTATCATGCTAAGCCCTAAACTCAGACTGCTTCTATTTAATAATACAGGTACATAATTGGTTAAATAGGCATTTGTGATCTAAGCCAGGAATCTAATCACCATACAGAACATTGTTCTATAGGAAAAAAATTTCTTCATTTCCAGCCAACTAAATTTCAAAACACTGACTGCCTGTCAACTGAAAATTGAAAGCCTGTCAAAATTGAAGCCTGTCAATACTATCTGAGAGCAAGTAACTTTAATAAAGCTAAGATTTTTAATAAATGCTAAGATTATTAATATAAAAGATGAAAGAAGTGTCAAAAGTTAATATTGACTGAGACAAAATAAGCACAAAGAAGTCTAATCCAGTTCTATTGCTAATGTGCCATATTTCCTGGAGTAGATCATGCAATTATGTAACTACAATGTGCCTCAGTTTAACTAAAATAATGATGAGGCTGGGCACTTCACTATGTAATCACAACAGAATACGATTATTAAACTTACGCACATGCCCTACTAATCATTTTAAAAATATGACTCTGTGCCTCCAAGATGGTCATCTCACCTCATGAGAAGTCATCTGCACACTTCAAAATTCATGGTTGTTCATGACAGTTTTTTGTGTATTCTGCTTACTAAATGACGTGGCCATGTCAATACTTATACATTAAAACCTTATTCTATCACATTAAGAACTGCATTATGCTCACTACTCATGCTTATTTTGTATTACTTTTCAATATACATTTGAATTTCTGCTTGTTAATTCAGGGATTTAAAAAAAAACACATTTTTAGTATTTCAAATATTGGTGCAGGGCTCCTCCTCCTCCACTTTGGTTTCTTCTTGACTTGTGGTCACTGGAGAGTTCATGTACTCTTGATAAATTGCTTTCTTACATCCACAGCGTAAAGGCCCTTATCATTTACCCGCTGGCTTCATTCAACACATTTACACTGAGGAATACTTTGTCAAAGAGTTCTGGTTTCCCCATACTTCATTTCTTGCAACTGATTTGTCTGATCTTTCCTATTCTACTGGTTAAGTCAACTTTGAATAAATAGCTTTAAAAATTAATTTAATGTTTAGGAAAGATAAGGGATTGGCAAGCCTAGGGACTGAAGTCTTCTCTCACTCCACAGGGCATTTAGGCTGCACAGATGTGAAGGGTGGTATTATTTCTGCTCCTTTTCCAGTGCAGCTTAACTATTTGGCCTTATGATGAGTGGCTGATCTGCTCACAGAGCCCAGTGAATAGGCCAGATTGAAATCTAAATGATTTAAATACAGCTCACTCTTCTCTCCCCTTCCCCCACTACCACCTCCTTCAAATTTTTATTCATGAAATCCCCCAATACTGTCATGGATATGCAAAAAATGCAGGGGGTGGAAAGGATATATGACACAAAAACTGATTTTACAAATGTTTGTGTCAATTTGTAGCCATGAGATCCAGCTTGGGCTGTGGTGCTGATACACATAAATGCTAGATGGAAACCTTAGCAACAGCAAAAGATAGAATACTTTTCCCAAATGCTATGTCAATTCCCTTCAATATAGAAAATTCCAAAAAGAAAATTTTAGACTACAGAAATAAATAGAAAAGAGAGTAAACTGAAGTGTCCCTGAACTTAAAAATAGAGTAATAGAAACCAATAATTGAATATACATTATTTGATTAATTCTTACCAGTTCCCAATGAACTAAGAAGTAGGATAGTATTATGAAAGGGAGGAGTAGACAATTAAAGTTAATTTAATGGTGTTTCCAGGAAAAGCAATAGCTATGATAGGTTTGGAATCTAATGACACAGGTAGCAGCAACCAGGGTGAAAAGGGTCTAAAATAGGCCTTAAAAAATTTATACTGCCCTGCTTGTTACTAATTGCAAATTCCAGGAAATATGTAACTACAGATTTAAAAGATCTTTTGAATAATCTAGATCTATTCATATATATATATATCCATTGAATTATATTAAGTTACAAGGTTGTACATATATAAGGCAAAGTTTTCTTGAGTGGCCAATTCAAAAATGGAGTAGTCAAATATCTTTGTAGTAGAAGCAAACACCTAGTCTCTAAGTCTCCTTTCCATTCCAATTTTACAATTCTATAAATCAGCTTAATTCTGCCTGCAGGGGTCTTTAGCCTAAGATTGAGAACCAATGGGTTAGGCATAGGACTTAGGAACATCAGGAGAAAGGAGAACTGGGCAGAGAGAGAAGAGAACCACAGAGATACAGATACTCAAAAATATCTGTGTAGGGGTGTGTGTGTGTGTGTGCATGTATTTATATCTATAGCTACAGATGTGTGTATATCTCTATATCTATATAGAGATACACAAAATACACACAAAAGGTATCACATTTTGTAATTAGCATCCAACTTTAAGACTACTTTGTATCATACTACTGTTTATATTTGGATTTTCAAAGAAGAATAGTAAAAGAGGCTGTATTGCCTGATGGAGATAGGACTGGGCTTGGGGTCAAAAACACTTGTATTCAGTTCTAAGTATATTATCCTGTAAAGTAGTGATGTCAAACACAAATA